GGGTTTGAACCACCAGCCATCTGGTTAGCAGGCAAGTGTCTTAGCCACTATGCTACCAGAGCTCCCTTGAAACATTAGAAAGTAATGAAAAATTCTTAGGAAACATTAAATTGAAACACATATACAAGCATAAAAAAATTAGCTTCAAAGAAAACAGTTATTTATGTTTAAAAATGATTAATTTATTCCTACAGAGAATAAGAGAGGAAGTTCTTCCTTATCCTTCACTTTAAAACTATCAAGGAGAGGACTTTTGCTTCTGGTCAAGATGGCAAGTCTCTTAACTTTTCACGATGATTCACTAGCTAGCTCCCTTTCCTCCCCACTCCTCATTGGCTTATATGTCCCATCTTTGGATGGAAAAGAGAATGTTTCACAAGCCGTAGGACTTTTTCCAACAATAATTGTTTTCATTCACAAGTCTCCATGAAAGACATCAGACTTTCAGGTGTGCTCATTCACTGTAGATGTCTACCTTCTGCAAATGTCAGTGAACAAGGGTAGTCTTTAGGGAAACCTAAGAGAGGACTGAGGATATCTTGAATCTGAAATCTCCCAGTTCTTGAGGTTGGCAGTCAAGATGCTTCTTTAACCAGCACCTCCAGCCACAAGTGGGCAAATCAGAGGACTTGAACATGACAGACACTTAAGCCTCCCTCCCCCCACAGACCTCCCAGGGTGGACTGATTTACCCCTAAGTAACAGAACTCATGGGCCTTCCTGAACAGAACCTGGCACCAGTAGTTTTACAGACCTCCAAGTTTGCTTACTGTATACTTGCCCCCAAATGGAAGCATCTCAAGATTCCATCTATCAGCTTGTTGGGCTCTGTGCTTGTGTCTTCATTTCCCCACTAACCTTCAGCTAGTCACCTAATACATACCCAGCATGGTCAGGGGTTCTCTACACAACCCAATACACATTCTGGTGTCTTTCAGCAGACACTCCATTCCCAGAGTGGGTATGTCTTTGCTTTTTCCTTTGAGATATAAAAACTTCAGTGTATGAGACTAGAAAAAGAAACCAGGCTGTAGACCTAATCCAACAGGCAGAAAGGCTACAGCAGAGACCATGTAAGAGAGGGTAGGACAGGCAGACTGAGGAAGCCTAAGTATCTGTATACTCCTTAAAGGGGTACCTCTAATTCTCACTGACCTCCCTCTTTCCGCAGTTATATAGGCCCCCACTGACCTCTGACATCTCTTATATCCTCATCCGTAAAAAAACTGGGGCCAACATATTTAAAAGAGCAATTTTAGAGTAAACTAGTAACACCTCAGTAAAGCAGAATAAATGATCAGAGTACAGGGATCTCAATCCCAACCTGAGAAAACAAAAAAACAAAAACCAACCACACTGCCGTTGAGTCGATTCTGACTCATAGTAACCCCTCCTTGGGTTTCCGAGGCAATATCTCTATGCAAGTAGACTGCCCAACCTTTCTTTTGAGGAGTGGCTCGTAGGTTTGAACCGCCAGCCTTCTGGTTAGCAGTCAAATGTCTTAGGCACTAGGCCACCAGAGCTCCCGCCTGAGAAGAGGCATCCCTGTCTAAGACAGAACAGGGACATATGCCTTTTCTCTCATATAAAAAACAAAAAGCCCTCCTCAGTGTCTGTTTCTCAAGATGCCTAGGTCTTTCTCACACATGACAGTCTTGTCTCATAGAGAACTTGTTTTCTACTGTGAGCTGGCTATGATCTCGCTTTCTGATCAATAGTGGGTTCCCACTCAGGGATCCAGTGTCTCTCTCATACACACGTCAGGGACCTCCTACTTCCACACATTTAGTTACAGACACCCAGAGGATCAGGGACTGAAGGCAATAAGCACACACGAAAGACAAAGAAACATACACAGAAACGCCAGGGGATACACAAACAGAAAGACTAACTCAGAAAGACACAAGCCAACATACGGACAGAAGTCCCTGTGCTCTCTCACTTGGCCTGCATAAAGCACTCCCCTTTTCCCTCAATTAAACTCAGCATGGTTACATCACATGAATTTGGGCAGCAACCTCCAAGGCCCCAGGCCAGGGTCCCCTCCCTTTATACCAGTCCCAGATCCTGCCATGATATTTGCCTCTAAATGTCTGTAGTTCTCTCCACTTGTCTATGAGGATGAACAGAGAAACACACAATTTGAGATCCAAGGTTTTTAATCTACAGAAAACAGAGTATGGCTGTACGTGGGTCATATTCAGAAGTCAAGTTGTGCTGACAAGTTCACAGTCCATTCTGCAATGAGAGTGGTGCCAAGGGAAGAGGAAGAGAGGGGTTAGCCTAGGGCAGACTGGCTATGGAGATGAGGGGCTAAACTGCAACCATAACATAAGCTTCTTCGTCCCCCATCCTCTCCCCTATGAGCAGCAAAGTGCAGATGGAGAGACAGCCAGAGGTCCTCCTTCTTTCCATAGCAGCAGTCAAGGTCTGAGTTGGGGTCTCACCTACTCTGGAATCCTTTCTCATGTTGCTGGCTCCCAAGGAGCTGTGGCAAGCTCGTATGTCCAGCAGGTTGTGGGCTGCTGACCTTGGGAAGACATGGTATGGGCAGTGGGTAAGGCCTAACTTCCAGTTTCTGTCCCCTCCTTTCCGCCCATTTGTCTTGTCCCTCATTCACCTGTGGGGTCACACCCCTATCTCCTACCATGTTGTCCCCACTGTTCCGTTCCTGGGGCCAAGTCAGCTGCTGGGGCTTATCTTCAGGAGGATCCAGGTGGAGGGGTAACTTGCACGGCTGCAGCTCTGCTTGTGCCTCAGGGAACACCATTTTATTCTGCAGGGTATATAGCAGCTGGAGGAAGGCCTGGTACCTGGGAAGAGGAGGGTGTGAGGAGAGGGAACCTTAGCTGGACCATCCCAGACTATAGCCTATACTCTAACCTCACCTCTGCAGCTTGTGTTGCTCCTGCCCTGCCTGATGCTTCAGGCTTCTGAGTTCCTGATATAGCCGCTCAACCTCCTGCTGAGTTCCTCTCTGACGATCCCTGACTTCTGCCAGATGCTGCAGATGCTTCTCCTGGAAGGACCAAGGATGAAGACACAGGTTCATCAGGAATCAAGATCTTAACTGTTCCCGAGCCCACTACCCCTACAAATCCTTCATCCTAGACTCAGCTCAGGACACAGACCCACAGAGAAAAAGAAGGAGTCTGCTGGATTTGGGCAGGAGCAGAGATCTAGAGAAAAGAAAGGGTCAGAATGAGCTCTCCCAAGGTGAGGTACTTTGGATGAAGGGGCACAAAGATGATGCTAACATTTATTTAGCCTGCTACGCTCCAGAAACCATTTTAAGAACATTCCGTAATGGTAACTTATTTAGTCCCCTTAACAACTATATGGTAGGTGTTGTTATTGTCTCCATTTCATAAACAAAGAAATAGTTGCACAGGAAGTTAGGTGACCTGTCCAAGGTCATGCCCTGGTAACAGGTGAAACCTAGGATTCGAGCCCATGTTGTTAGTACACTATACCACCTCACATACGAAAACGAGATAGAGGGTTAACAGGCAGAGGATGCAACCCATATAATAGCATGGCGGTGGAAAGAGATGCTCTCATAAGAAGATGGACCTACCTGTTGCAGCTGCCACTGCTTCTGGGCTGCTCTGAGTTTCTCCATGGCCACTTGCTTCTGTGGGTAAACAGAAAGGAAGTGTATTTTTCTGGTTGGATTTTGGAAGGTGAGAAATGGGTCCAACTCAGCTTGCTCATCCTTTCCCTCCTCCTTCCTGCCCCTCACCCAAGACCCCAGAGTGAACCTTAGCCTGGAGCTGCTCAAGGGCATCCTGGAGCTGTGCCCGCTTCCTCTGGGCCTCTTCCATCTGGGGCACAGCCTGCGCCAGGGCACTTGTGATGGCCTCCACATGCTCCTGGTATGTGGCCTTGAGCTCCTTCCAGTGCTCCTTGGCTTCACCTGCCTTTTGCCCTGAAAGGGACCATCAGAAATAAGGGCATGGCCTGTCTGCCTCCTTGTATCAGTGAGGCCATCAGCTCAACAGCTGGCCCAACACCCCACTTCCTTATCCACTCAGGTCAGACACTACCCCAACCCTGTGCCTACTCACGGCTCATGTCTTCAGAAGCCAAGGGGTCCAGACCCTGGGCAGTGTCCTCATGCATGAGGAATCCCTGCAGGAAGTCCACTACTTGCAGCTGGCTACACAGCAGCTTGTCCTTCTTCCGAGAGTCCTATTCAGAGGGAGGACAGAGAAAGGGAGCCTCCTTCCCTCTTTGCACTACGATCCAACACAGCTGCCTATCTGACTGCTCACCGTAAATGCTGCCCAGTACTTTCACAGGAGGACCATGGCTTCCCATTTGTACATACCATCACAAATTCAGCAAGGATCTGGGCAGGCAGCTCTGCTTCCTCCTGCAAGCCTATAGGTTCCAGGATGGTGCTCACTTCAGCCAATGCCCTGTATGAGCAAGAAAACGGGGGCAACCTCAGTTTCCTACTGGGCTAATTCTGAAGGCATATGTGCATGCAACTACTCCCCTTGACCAGGTTGTACACACGGGCCTGAAGGGCCCATGGCTTAAGAACAAGAGCAGTATGTGTATGAATGACAAAAGCGCCATTAAGGAAAAAGAAAAAGTAGGGTAGAGAGTCCTGATGGAACAAAGAGTTAAACAGCTCTGTGAGAAAGACCTGGGCACCTGCTTGCATAAAGATTGCAGCCCAGAAAACCCTAGGAAGCTGTTCTACTCTGCAAAACATCGAGTTGAATGGGAATCACCTCTACTGCACAACAACGGGGAAAAGGAGTGTGGGGGGAATACAGTTTTAAACAATGTCTCATTGGGGATATACCATTTGAATCCAGATCTCAAGGCAGTCAAGAAAAGGGAAAAAGGGCCATGCTCTGACGGGCCATTGGACACCTGGCAGAAACCTCTAGTCTTGTGGCAAGAGCTCTGGATAACTGAGCAGGGGTTCAGGACAGAGCTAGATACCTCAGTCTAGGCTCTCTAAGTTCTCTCTCCTTAGGGGATGGGGTACCCCAATGGCAGTAAGCATGGCGATGAAAAAACCCTGGAGAGAGAAAAAGAGAGGGAGAGGGAG